AACAGTGTTCTCATTTCTAACAGCACGGGCAACTGACAATTTTATCTCCTTCTGGTTCTTCTCTGCTCACCACTCCAGGGTCTCCGGTCAGTGGTAGATCACATGCTTTGCACCTAGGGAAGTCCAGACTCAAGCCCAGGAGTCTCCAGGTTAAAAGAAGCTGGAGTAGCTACCGGCCTGAGGAAGCCAGGATAGTATGATGGTGACATGTGTCAGAGTGGGACCTGGGAGACCATGCACACCATCTCAAGCTCCTTTGAGAGGGGCACAAGTGTACAAATAAAGCTTCTGAGTGGGCTAGGTGCTCAATATGCCTTAGTTTTCTTGAGGGGCTGTGTCTGCCAGGCTGGGGATGCAAAATGAGACAGGATGCTAATGGGCTGCGTTTGCCCTGGTGGATAACAGCTCCCAGGGAGCGAAGAAGAAGAAGAAGAAGAAGAAGAGGAAGAAGAGGAAGAAGAGTTTGGATTTGATATCCTGCTTTATCACTACCCTAAGGAATCTCAAAGTGGCTAGCATTCTCCTTTCCCTTCCTCCCCCACAACAAACACTCTGTGAGGTGAGTGGGGCTGAGAGACTTCAGAGAAGTGTGACTAGCCCAAGGTCACCCAGCAGCTGCATGTGGAGGAGCGGGAAAGCGAACCCAGTTCACCAGATTACGAGTCCACAGCTCTTAACCACTGCACCATACTAGCAGCCCTAAACCAGACAGATTACGGATTATGGACCTGACTCTTGAGAGTCTTAATCTCAAGGTTGTGGGTTCGAGCCCCACATTGGGCAAAAGATTCCTGCCTTGCAGGGGGGGGGGGCTGGACTAGATGAACCCTGGTGATCCCTTCCAATTCTCTGGTTCTAAGTCAAAGGCAGGCCCTGATGCAAATGGGCTACATTGGTCATTGGACAGTATTTTTAATACATTGAGTGGTATAAGAAATAAATGAGCGGCCGAACCAGAGTTCCGACTTGCCCTGAGCAAAGGGCCTTCCTCACACAATGCAAAACCGAGGAGCTTTTATATCTGGTGTAACAGGAATCTGGAGCTTCGAGGACAATGCCGTTGCCCCCAATCTAATTTCTGCAGAACGGGTCTGAGCAGCCGGGTAGGAGGGCGAAGATGGCCAGGTTCTTCCCAGAGGCTCCGTCTGACTGCCACGGCAGAGCTGCCCATTTAGAGGGCGAGGAGAGACGGCTTAGGGAAATTACTTTGGACATTTGATAAGGGACCTTATTGCCCAGCCTGTCACGGGGATGAGCTCGCCTCGGGGAGGACTGCCGGGGAGCTAATCAAAAGCATTGTTTCACAGCTGGGTGGGCAGAAAGAGCTGGGGAGGAGGTGGGTGACGGAGGCCGGGAAGCTGGGAAGAACACCCTTTGCAGTGGCTCGTACAACCGAACTTATTGGTGGCTTTGGGAGCACTCCTAGGCAGAGAAAAGGTAGACCAGGGGCAGACTTTGGTCTTTCAAATTTCAACGATGCAAGGCCAAAATTCGCCTCTCGCCTTCCATTCTGCTCATAGTTTCAGCACCCCACTGGGCTCAGCGCCCAGCGCGGTGGAACTATTTTTCCTGCCCTAAATCCGCCTCTGTGAGGTCCCACAGGAGATGGGAACCTGTGGCCCTCGAGGTCACTGGACTCCAACTCCCATCAGCCCCAGACCACACGGCTATGACGTCATCAGAGGCTGCTCCATTAAGCCAAGCCGTCTTGCTGCCTTCTGCGCTACTAGTCCCTGCGATCGCCTTGCACGGTCCCGAATTTCAAACGCCAACAATAATTCATTGTCGAGGGAGCAATAACATGCGCCGGGTTTTAATGGGCTGACTTATGACCTTGGCAGTGGGGCGTACCCTGCAGATAACGGCACCGCTATTAATTTTAATAGACTGTGCACAGGAGGAGAATTGAAGGATTGGGGGCAGCCTCAGAAGCAGAGGAATCCGCCAAGGGCAGCGCAATGATTGCAAAAGCATTGCCTCTTGATGTAAGCTAAATCGATTTTCAGGAGTGCTCTGGGCGCATTCTGAGCTGCACGTTTTATCTGGGGCAGGGGAGAGAGTCTTTAGAAAGCATGGTCTGCTGCACTGGAGGCAAGCGAAGGACAGGAGAGCATTCAGGTGGGTCTGTGCAGAGAGCAAGGAGAGTAACTCAGCCCAGTTACCAAAATGGACCCAAAGGTCATGGACCCAAATCTATACGGCTACAGATTTTCCCCCCATGGGAAAAACTCTCACCTCAACCACCAAAGTGAATCTACCTAGTTTCCCAAAAATGGGTCAGCTGCCCATCAGGGGAGGGGGGGTGTTTAGTAAGACCTTGAAGACAGCGTCCCCACCAGGGATGCTGCAGAGCTGCCAGAGTGGATGATGTTGACATGGGTTGTTGAGATTCCTGCATTGCAAGGGGTCAGACTAGATGACGCCTGATAGTCCCTTCCGACTCTACAATTCTATGATGGCCAACGGCCTGGCTCCGTATAAGGCATCTTCTCCGGTTCAGAAGTTTGGGGCTTTCTTCCGGCCCTTTCTAACTACCTGCCAAGTTGGGCGAAGGATGGGCTGGCGGAACAGGTGTGGTTTCTGAAAGGAGAAGCATTAGAAGTGGCCCTCGCTATTTAGCTTGAGGAAGGCCTTCAAGTATCCAGCGGTGACCTGATCTCTAGGGTTTTCACAGTGAGTTTCGGCGCTCGAGTGCAGCAGTGTTGGAGGACACGCATGGCGAATCAAGTGATGCTTGGGCAGCACTTTCTAATCACAAGTGTTTTGGTGCAGACCTTTTTTTTTAATGTTGAGAGGGCACAGAGGCTGTGCACGGAAGTACAGAAGGTGCTAAAGTTTGTAGTTAGGGCAAAATACCTTTGTGGTGTACGCTAGTACAGTCATGCCTCTTGTTACGCTCAGTTCAGGTTACGTCTTTTCAGGTTGCGTCCTGCGGCGACCCGGAAGTACCGGAAAGGGTTACTTCTGGGTTTCGCCGCTCGCGCATGCGCAGACACACAAAAATGACGTTATGCGCATGTGCAGAAGTGGCAAATTGCGACCTGCGCATGTGCAGACGCACAGACGTGGGTTGTATTCCTCTCAGGTTGCGAACGGGGCTTCGGAACAGATCCTGTTCGCAAACAGAAGTACCACTGTACAAGATGGAACCAGAGCCAAAGGTATTTGGGGCTTCCTTCCTTCCTTCCTTCCTTCCTTCCTTCCTTCCTTCCTTCCTTCCTTCCTCTCTTTCTTTCTCTCTCTCTCTTTCTTTCTTTCTCTCTCTCTCTTTCTTTCTCTCTCCCCCTCATCTCCTTTTCTCTTCTTCTCCCTTTGTGACACCTTCTCTCCCTCCCTCCCTCCCTCCCTCTCTCCCTCCCTCTCTCCCTCCCTCTCTCTCTCTCTCTCTCTCTCTCTCTGGGACACTTCCATCTCTGTCATTCCCATCCAACAGTCTGCTAGAAGAAGGGCCAACGACTCTTTGACCTTTTTCAGAGGACGTGACCTCCTTCCCCAGGCCCCCCCCCCTGCTTGCAGGAAATAAGAGACAGGGCCACAGTTCCCCCCAGCTGTTGAAAGGAGGACTGTGACACTGCTTGCGAACCACCACTCAGCACATGCCAAGCATCATTATTAGATGTGGGTGGGTTGGGGGGGTGGGGAAGAGGGAATGTCAAAAGCCTCTTTCACAAGTCATTATTAAACAGCTCAGGACCGCAATACCTCAAGGACCCCCTCTCCCCATTTGAACCGACCCAGACCCTGCGATCATCATCGGAGGCCCTTCTTCGTGTGTCTCCTCCACAAGAGGTCTGGAGCGTGGCAACATGAAAACAGGGACTTTTGTGTGGTGGCTCCCTGTTTGTGGAATGCTCTCTCCAGGGAGTCTCTGACATTAACATTCTCTAGCCTTTTAACTGTGTTTGGGGGTTATTAGTTTATTTTTGTTTTTGCTTCATTATGCATTTTGTATTCTCATTTTATATTTTTATGCTGTGAACTGCTCTGTGATCTTTTGGATGATATACAAATTTAATAAATTAATATTGATAATGATAATAACATTTACTATCTTTCAGGGATTTTGTGTGTTTGCTCACTCTCGTTGATGTTGTTTTGTTTGGCTTGGCTTTTTTCTTTTTACAGAAAACCTTGTTAAAATACATCAAGCTTCACTGGGCGACTCTTAATTTAAATTCCCGTTCCAGAAATGTGGGTTGTTGTTGGGTAGCGGCCTTATAGCAGGTCCAAAAATTTGTCTGCAAAGTTGAGTATTGGGCAGTGTTTCTGTCCGGTGTTTCGGCCAGAAGGTCCCTCCCAACAACTGCTCCCAAATCTTTGGAACTGAAGACCCCAGGAACTGAACTTGAGACCATTTGCATGCTAAAGAGGTGCTTTACCACTGAGCTACAGTCCCTCCAAAATTTCCAAGATGACCAGTGACAGAGACAGGCTGCTTCTGTGGCCAGTGTCTGGCAGTACGTAGAGTCACCGGCTCCCATCACTCTCAATCCAGCCTTGGCTTCTCAACACAACCTTCCTCCCCAAATATATCACAGCCTTAGCAAGGAGGGGACAGTCTGAATGTTGGACAAAGAATCCACTGCAATTAGCAGCAGGAATTGCCCTAAAAGCGTATTATTATTAAAAAGTCAAGTTCGGGCATTTGTGCATTCAGGTTAAAAATCTGACCAAAGTTTTGCATTCACACACCCATACACAGAGGCCCCCCCCATTGTTTTTACCTTCATGTAGCAGTAGTAATAATAAACAGTGCTTATGTAGCATGTTAAGGAGTGTTCAAAACGATGGGCAGCTGGTTGTTATCCTCCCAACACCCCTGTAAGGTAGACCAGGATTTTTATCCTCATATTGCAGATGGTTGTGGGGGGGGGGGAGGTCAGAGGCTGGTGAGTTTGTGGCACAGGCAAGGGTTCAACCTGGGAATCCTGAATTTGGAGGATGGCTTCTGAACCACTCCAGCCCACACACCCGATAGCTACGGAGAGCCTCTGAACGAGATCCAAGACGCCCGTACAATGAAACGAGTGAAGCATTTGCAAAATCCTCAGTTTCAGAAGTCTTCCGTGTCCTTCTGGGGAGAAAGTCTGTCCTCGCTGGTTTCGTCAAGGAAACAATTTCGCGCTGTGATCGGATCCCACGAGGCTGAGTTTGACAAGTCCTAGTGGCGGTGGTTTGGCGTGGCATGAGTTCTGAGCCAGAGAGCAGCTGGTCTCTGCATGGAACCAATGAGGAATCAAAGAGAAGAGTGAGGGGTGGGTGTCGGGGTGGGTGGGGAGAGCGAGCGCACCAAATACCGCCCCCCCTGGAGCCAGTCTGGGATCGGGTCCCTTCCTAATTTCCCAAGCATGCAATCGAGGTGTCCAGACCTGCGGTCCACACAAGCCATCCGCATCCCAGAAGCGATGCAACTTCACAGTGTCGTGCCGGGACAAGCCGGAGGGGTTAGGAGATGTTCCCAAAAGAGGCTGGAAGAAGGAGGGTTGGGAGCGAAGGAAAGAAACAGAAAAAAGGGAGTAAGTACCAAAGCTGTCAAGGGAGATTGGAGGCGGAGGACACAGGGGGAAATCGTGGTGACGGGTGAATTGGGGAAGGGGATGCCTCAAGCAAGACTGGGGGACAGCACTCCTGGGCCCACCTGGAAGTTGGAAATGAGGTCAAGGGGGAGAGGGTGAAGACACTTGGAAGGTTCTCAGAACGGTTTCCAGCAGACAGATCTTGGAGGCCTCTGGTCCAGTCTTGCTTCGGGAGCAAGACAACTGGGTGAACGCAACGGGGTGGGGGGGAGAGAGCCCAGCTGCAGGGCCCCATCCATGAAGCAGGAACAAGGCCAGGCTGACCCTGCTCCCCTCCTCTGAAGCAAGGCTGAGGGCAAGCATAAGGAGACAACATGTGGAGGGAAGGAGCAAAGGCGTGGGGATGCTGAACCGCAGAAGAAAGAGGAAGAGAAAAGGAATGGAGGAGATTGGTGAAATGGGGGAAGAGAAGAAGTAGGAAGGGAGGAAGCAGAGAGGGCGACTAGGAGGAGATTGGCGAAATGGGGAAGGAAGGGGAAAGGTGGGGAGCAGACTCAAAGGATGGAATGAGAATCGAGGGAAGAGATGGAGGGTGAAAGAGAGGAAGATGGCTGGCTGGCGACTTTTCCCCCTGGGCAGCATCACCCTTCCTTGCGGGACCCTCCCTCTCAGGTGGGTCGCAGTTTATGGAGGGGTCAGTGCATGCAAAATTTGTTCAGACTCTTCTCTGATGTCATCCTCATCAAATTCCCACCCCCTATTACCGTATTTTTCGCTCCACAAGACGCACCTGACCATAAGACGCACCTGGTTTTTAGAGGAGGAAAGGGGGAAAGCCCTGGTTTTTTGAGGACCATCTCACAGTTGTGCAGCTTCTTTTGCAAAGGGGAAAAGCCCCGTTTTTTAAGGATGAGCTCAAAGTTGTTGAGCTTACTTTGCAAAGGGAAAAAAATCCTGTTTTTATGGGGTTGAACTCATAGTTCTGCAGCTTCTTTAGGAAAGGGAGCCGTTTCTACAGTTTCCAGACAGATAATCTAATCAGCCAGTCACATGTCGCTGGGGAAACAAACAGCCTCTGTCTGCAGAACATTCAGCAATGGAGGCCTGGGCAAGGGGCTGGAAAGGGAGCCAGCGATCAACCACACATTCGCTCCATAAGACGCACAGACATCTCCCCTTACTTTTTAGGAGGAAAAAAGTGTGTCTTGTGGAGCGAAAAATACGGTAGTTTCCAACTTAAAATGGATTTTCTATTTCCGCAGAAAATCCAATAAGTAAAAGTCAAAAGATGCTACAGCACCTTTGGAAATGGCAAATGGGAAGGTGAAGGGATGGGGAACTATGGGAAAGGGTTTTTATTTATTTATAATACTATGACATGTGGATCTTGCAATAAGACTGCAGGAATAAGCAGCACCCAAGTCCACAACAAACTGCTGTGCATTGAAGCACCCACAACATCCTGTTTAAACGCTCTTTCAAAGGATGGCTGAGATGCCAATGTCACTTCCGGGCAAGATTCACCCTGATCTGTTGGCACAGAAGCTTGCCGGGAGGTCGGATGAAGTCAGCATTCATCCTGATTTGTTGGCAGGGAGGTTAAACGATGTTGTGCCTGGCAGTCGTTCGTTACCCCACATTTCCCCAGTGCAATTTGCCGGCAGGTTCCCTTATTGCAAAAAGTCCAGTTTGGGGGGCAAAGAGGCTTGTTGTGCAAGAGGCCCGGCTCAGCTTTAACAATGCAACGTGGATTTGCTAGTGCGGGACTGAATCCCACCCAAAACCAGCAACAGTCTGAAAGTGCCCCGAATCTCAAAGCTTCACCCCACAAGTCCCAGGCTTTGCAGGTGGAGAAGTAGAATCCATATCTCCTTCTGCTTCCTTTTATCAGAATCTGCCCTCCCCTCCCCTGTCCTTTACCAGTGGCAAGACAGGCAGACCCGGGAGGAACAAGAAGTAACCCCCAGAGGTTATTCGTCTTTAGGCTGACCAACGCAGCAGGCCACTCAAATGCAGGGAATCAGGAGTGATTTGGGGACATCCCGCCCCCCCAGTCACCGTACCTTGACTGAGGAGCTGTAGGTTGCGGACTTCCTCGCGCACCTGCAGCTGCAGCACCTGTTGGAGGACTTCCTGCCGCTGAGACTCGTGGATTATCCCCATGCGCTGCAACTTCTCCGCATTCAGCCGCAGCAACGCCCGACCTGCCGAGAAGAAAGCAGAACGGTGAGGAGGAGGAGGAGGGAGAAAGGGCCAGATAAGAGCTCTGTGGGGTGAGTGGGTGGGTGTTCTTCCTGACACCAAGCTTCTGTGCAGAGGGGTTTTATTTTTGGGGAGTAGGGAGCAATCCAGCCCAGCTCCCCCTTGTAGCCTGAAGTGGTGACAGCCCAGGCATAGACAGACCGTTCCACATACGGTGCGTTGAATCTTTCAACTTCCAAAAATGGGGGGGGGGGGCGCTAAAATGTTGTAACATGACCTGGGAACTCAATAGGTATTTTGGTTAAATCAATATTCTTTAGCTTTGCTCGGTAAGTAAAATGTGTGCAACGTGGCACGGAAATCATTAAAAATCATTGCCAAGTACCTGCAGCCATATTCTGTATTTTATAAAGCATTACCTGCCGTTTTCATAAGGTAAAATTGAAATGCTTTTGGTTTTCCAAAGGCAGTTTCTGCGCTTCTCCATCTCACCAAGCTAAATGTCCAATCACTAAAATGATGGCAGATTTGAATTCTTCACCCCCCCAAATGTATTTTTAAGACCCCTCACTAAAGAAATTTGCAAAATGTAAGCTTCGCCCCTTCAAATGACATGCCCTATTCTTCCCAGAACAGAGACATCACCTTGCCGACAAAGGTCCATATAGTTAAACCTATGGTTTTCCCAGTAGTGATGTATGGAAGTGAGAGCTGGACCATAAAGAAGGCTGATCGCCAAAGAATTGATGCTTTTGCATTATGGTGCTGGAAGAGACTCTTGAGAGTCCCATGGACAGCAAGAAGATCAAACCTCTCCATTCTGAAGGAAATCAGCCCTGAGTGCTCACTTGAAGGTCAGATCCTGAAGCTGAGGCTCCAAGACTTTGGCCACCTCATGAGAAGAGAAGACTCCCTGGAAAAGACCCTGATGTTGGGAAAGATGGAGGGCACAAGGAGAAGGGGACGACAGAGGACGAGATGGTGGGACAGTGTTCTCGAAGCTACCAGCATGAGTTTGACCAAGTTGTGGGAGGCAGTGGAAGACAGGAGTGCCTGGCGTGCTCTGGTCCATGGGGTCATGAAGAGTCGGACACGACTAAATGACTAAACAACAACAACAACATTGTTCCCAGACTCAACCCAGAATTTTGTGGTGGTTTTTCTACAGCATAAAACAGGTCAAACTGGATGATAGGCAATTCATGTATCTGGGCGTTTCAGATGGCAGCTTGTCAGATACATGTGTGTGCCTATGTGTACATGAGGGGTTTTAACCCTTTCCTCCCCCTGTGGCCGTTTCAGAAATCCTTGCCCTCCAGAGTTCTTGCCTGGCGCATGAGGGAGACTGCTGTGACAGAGGCTTCAAGGACTCAGCGTTAATTTTGGGCTACAGCGGGGGGGGGGGGCGGGCGCAAAGGACTCAACTACCCCCTCCCCATGCCCCACAGTCCTGATCCCAATTCCTCCCCCCACCAACTCACTGATTGCTATTTAACAACAAGGAACAAAACCCCAAACCCTCAAAGTGTGACCAGGGGGGGTGTAGTGGTTCACGTGCTGGGCCAGGACCTGGGTTCAAATCCCCACTAAGCCGCAAAGTGCACCAGGTGATGTTGGGCCAGCCCCTGTCACTCTAACCCGCCTTGCAGGGCTGTTGTGGAGATAAAACGGGGAGGCGGAGGATCGCCTTGCGCAACTCGGAGGAAAGGTGCGACGTAAGTGTAATGAATAAAATGAAGCCTGTCGTAAAATGATGCTGTGCTGACCCAACCCTACAAATCATGCAGCTTGGAAGGTATTTCTTTCCTGCAATGGGGTTTCTCTCTGTTTCTCCAATCTACCTCCTGCATCAAAACACATTTTATTTCAAAGGCTCCTCTGTGTGCAGTGGAGGAATGTTGGAACAGATTGGTGCATCCTCCCTAGAACGCAAGAGTTTCCCATCAGCCCCCTCTCCTGCCATCCAGGCTTTGTGAGCGGAGGGATGTTATAACTCGCTCGGCCCACCTCTCCTGCGGGTACAATTGCTAATGCTTCCTTTATTTCCAGCGCAAGGGCTTGAGCGAGCCGTTCCATTAGTGTTTCACCAAACCCTCCAAGGCACGCAAGGCTGAGGGAGCAGCCTTTGTGACTCCCAGGGAGAAAACACCACAACTTCTCTCCCTTTCTCTTCCCTTTCTTCCTCTCTGCCTCCCAAATCAGGACACAGATACGTTACCCTCTTCTAAGCAAAGGTTGGGGCGAGGGGAAACACAGGCACTTTGATCTGTCTGCCTTTCTTTGGTTCCAAACAAACACACACCCCAGACAGTGTCTGCGCAGTAATTATTGGCTTGGGCTACTTTCTCTCTTGCTTGTAAAATATTAATCCAGCAACTTTGCTTGCTTGTCTGCTTCATGTTCTCCTGCAAAGATCCTTTTGTTCTCCAGATCAAGCCGCCCTGGATCTACTATTTTCTGTCAGCCTGGAAAACCCAGAAAGGATGTCACGCTGAAAGGCTGCCGCAAGTACCTACACAAGAAGCAATTAATGCTGCCTGGCAGAACCGGCCCAAAACCTTTTGCCACCTGAGGCAAAGGACAACAAGATGGCTCCCCTACTCCACTTTCACGTTCAGAAGCTGACTGGGCCGAGAGCTGACTCAAACTTCCATGCTGGCAACAGGACAGTAGCATCCCGCAGCACACCTGAGGGCTGCTGGCTGGGGCAGGGCACTCCTGCCTCTGCCCACCAACAGAAGGGAACAGTCAACGAAGCAGTGCTGCTGCCACCCCTCAGCTTCTGCCGCCAAAAGCGGTTGCCTCCCCCTGCCCAATGGCTGCACCGGCTCTGTTGCTCGCCTGTACATATGTGACAAAAGGAGCAATCCTCTAGGCAAGGGCGTGAAAATGCTAAGTTCTGGACAAAGAATCCAATAACCTTTAGACCGTGCCAGAGCCAGAGAAAATATGCACCCCCCCTGCCATCCTGAGCTTCCCATTGGCTGCTCCCCGACTCATCCATCCACTGTTTGCCGAAGCATGCCAGATTGTAATACGGCCACTCTCCTAAAAACTTAGCGCCACAGCATTATATTATATTTTCTGAGAATCCTCCAGAAAAACAATCTCTCAAAGGACCTGTTGATGGCATTTTGCCATTGTACTATGGAGAGTGTATTAACTTATGGTCTCTCTGTGTGGTTTGGGAGCTGCACGGTCAGGGGGAAAAACAATGCTGTCCAGGGTTGTAAAGACTGCAGAGAGAATAATTGGGTGCACTCTTCCCACCTTGGATCAAATCTATGCTTCCAGGTGCCATAAGAAAGCTGCAGAGATAGCGCAGGATAGTGCGCACCCCGGAAATGATCTCTTTCAGCTTCTGCCTTCTGGAAGAAGGTATAAAGACTAGGACTAGCCGCCTGAGAAACAGTTTCTACCCAAATGCACTTTTGGTTTTAAACACATTGTAAGAAGAAGAAGAGAAGAAGAGTTTGGATTTGATATCCCGCTTTATCACTACCCAAAGGAGTCTCAAAGCGGCTAACAATCTCCTTTCCCTTCCTCCCCCACAACAAACACTCTGTGAGGTGAGTGGGGCTGAGAGACTTCAGAGAGTGTGACTAGTCCAAGGTCACCCAGCAGCTGCATGTGGAGGAGAAGGGAACTGAACCCGGTTCACCAGATTACGAGTCCACCACTCTTAACCACTATACCACACTGGCTCTTGTAAGGAGTCTGTATAGGAGTATATTGTATTTAAAAATGGGATATCAGAGTTTTTAGGGGGCTAACCAGGTTGGGATGGCTGGGATAGCAGGCTTGTTGGTTTTTGAATATCTTCTGTAGATTTTTCAATTTTGTTGTTCTGTATGGGACAATGACAATAAAGATTATCGTATCGTATTATCTAGAAGTATGCCTGTTCCCAGTTGCTTAAAGCACCCCTCAATACTTCTTATTTTTCTGCTAGGTGACACCCGTGGGATCCTAGTTGGCGTACTTCAACAGGACTCCCACGGCTTGTGGACAACCCTTCCCGGTCTCCATGCCGGCTAGTCGATAGGAGCCAATGCCTAAGGCCAATACCTTTCAATTCCTGTGATCAATAAAGTTGTGGCCTTTTAATGCCCATTAACCTTAAATAATGTGTCCGGTGTCTTCATTTCACTTGGGGTAGGGGACTTGCCACGCAACTGGCAGCCCCTCACTCTTCTTCGAACACCCTCCCTTGTGGAGTGTTCCCTTAGCCTCCTCTCTTCTCCCCTCTCCTTGGGAGTCCTCCCAGCAGCTGCCACCCTGGTCCCTGACCTGCCCTGCCTGCCCTAAAGAGGTGTCTCCTCACAGTGCCCCACAGAGGCCTGGGAAGCAGCCCCTGGCCAGCCCCAGAGGCACCATTTGCCTGGGGAGCTAGCAGCCAGGGCTGCTGCAACAAACAACAACTGTGCAAGGCTTTGGGAGGCAGAGATGTGAGAGGGGATCAGAGGAGGGAGGGAAGGAAAGAGGGACAGAGGCCAGTGTTGCCCGTGGCACCCCTGACCATCATTCAAGGCACCCCAAGGTCCCATGGCACACTCGTTGAAAACCACTGTGTGTGTAGTTCCTCGCGAGCCTAGCTAAAATCTGCAGTTTGCAGATTGAAAGACCTACATTGGCTCCCAGTACATTTCTGAGCACAATTCAAAGTGTTGGTGTTGACCTTTAAAGCCCTAAACAGCCTCAGCCCAGTATACCTGAAGGAGTGTCTCCACCCCCATCATTCAGCCCGGACACTGAGGTCCAGCGCCGAGGGCCTTCTGGCGGTTCCCTCCCTGCAAGAAGCAAAGCTACAGGGAACCAGGCAGAGGGCCTTCTCGGTAGTGGCACCCGCCCTGTGGAACGCCCTCCCACCAGATGTCAAAGAGAACAACAACTACCTGACATTTAGAAGACATCTGAAGGCAGCCCTGTTCAGGGAAGTTTTTAATGTGTGACATTTTAATGTATTTAATGTATTTTTGATCGCCAGATGGGCGGGGTACAAATAATAAATTATTATTATATTATTATTATTATTTGCCATGATATTTCGTCTTGCTTTATTCCAGGCTTCCTCAACCTCGGCCTTCCAAATGTTTTGAGACTACAATTCCCATCATCCCTGACCACTGGTCCTGTTAGCTAGGGATCATGGGAGTTGTAGGCCAAAAACATCTGGAGGGCTAAGGTTGAGGAAGCCTGCTTTATTCCAAACTTCCCCTCCTCGTCAACGAATGATTGTTACAATCTCGTGCCTCAGCACTTTTTCTGCGGTTGTTATCCTGACAACAAAGCCCAAGCGCTGTGCGTTACAGAGCACCCCTTTCTTCCAGGGAGCCTCCTCTTTTTGGGGAACCTGGAGAGGCTCGATTACCTGTGATGGCGTGATGGGAAAAGGCCTCCACGTAGATGAGATAATTGTGTGGGCAGTGCTTTTTGAGCCACTTGCACACATCCTGCTGCGTCCAAAGCACCACCGGCTTGGTCAGGCTCCCGAGCGTCGGGCTGGTGTGGTAGATGCCGTAGTGATCGTAGGTCCGGACCTGGTGGGGTTGAGGAAGAGGGGAAAGAGACGAGAAGCATTAGCGAGTCCCCCGCAGGGTGTCACAAGTCAGTGGTGCCTGGGACCTCAGCATCCCAAACAAGATCTTCTAAGCAGCCACACAAATGATGGTTTCTGGCAGCGGCCAGGAAAACTGCAGAAGGATAATATTATAATTTTGGGGGCTGGTCAGTCTGGATGAGACCCCGTGCCCCTCCCCAGACCTGCAATCCTGTATCTGTGAGGGTAGAATATGTAAAGTTAAAGCCTGGACGGTTAAGGTGACTATGGGGTGCGGCGCTCATCTCGCTTTCAGGCCGAGGGAGCCAGCGTTTGTCCTCAGACAGCTTTCTAGGTCATGTGGCCGCCAGTATGACTAAACCGCTTTTGGAGCAATGGGACACCTTGATGGAAGCCAGAGAGCACAAAAACACTGTTTACCTTCCTGCCACAGTGGTACCTATTTATCTACTCGCACTGGTGTGCTTTCAGACTGCTAGGTTGGCAGGAGCAGGGACCGAGCATCGGGAGCTCACCCATTGCAGGAATTCAAACTGCCGACCTTCCGATCGGCAAGCCCAAGAGGCTCAGTGGTTTACACAGGTAGAATGTGTAAGAGGAAGCTAGCCAATGCAGTTGTAATTTCATTTTCACTCTAAATTTCGACTCTAGGTGGATGCAGTGTCACTCGGATCCTGTGTCCAATGGCTTTGGCAGGTAAGTTGGAGCAGAACTTTGCTTATACCATGTCGCTGCTTCCCCCAGATTACTCCGGTTCTGTTGGGTTTGTCACCAGGAGTTACAGTCTTTTGTTTATGCTTTGTACACATAGGCTCATTTCTTGCCCCAACAGAATTCTGTCTCAGTACAGGAATAAACCCCCTCTGTTTTGAGGAGAGCTGTGTGCTCCTTCTGGTTTCAAGGACCTCGCTTGTATCCAGCAAAAATGGCCTTGGACCACAGCCCGCCAGTCAGGGCATCGTCTTGAAGTCCTGTTCCCTCAGCAACACTGGCCCAAGATGGCGGCAATAAAGCCAATGGAGTCCCTTTGTCTTTTTTTTTTTTTTTTGAAAAATTTTATTCATTTATGAAAAAGTACACATGCATACAAAATCTACACCACATTACAAACACCAGCATACAGAAAAGACAAAATTCTTCAGAAAAAATATTCCATCAAAAAAACAATGAGCGAAAAGGAAAGAAAAAGAGAAAAAAAAGAAAAAACAAAGGAAAAAAGAATGAAAAAAGCAGAAAAAAGAAAATAAAAGGTAAAAGGCACAAATGCAGTTAACAAAACTTCCGTCCAGCTCGGGTTTTGGAGTTTCCAATTCTTACATTGCTTCTGCAGTTTTAACAAAGCAAATAAACATCGATGATTTTAACCAACGTCTACTGATAAATTATTTATTCCCTGTGTGTTTTCTAGATAAGTTAAAAATTTGTTCCATTCATCTTTAAATTTACTGGTGTTGTTTTGTCTTATTTTTTGTGTTAATCTCGCTAATTCAATATATTGGTATAACCTCAGTTGCCACTCTGCCACCGTCGGTAGTTCCGAGGTTTTCCATTTTTGTGCTATTTGGATCCTCGCCGCTGCCATGGCATATTGGAAAAATTTTTGGTCTATTTTCTTTATTTCTTTGCCAATCAACCCTAGAAGAAACATCTCTGGGGATTTAGTGATGTTATACTTCAAAATTTTTTTCATTTCGTCATGAATCTGCTTCCAGAATTCTTTTATTACATCACAGGTCCACCAAATATGGAAGAAAGTCCCAACCTTATCTCTACATCTCCAGCAAGTATTATCAACAGTTTTATACATTTTTCCTAGCTTTGCTGGGGTCAGATACCAGCGGTATACCATTTTCTCCAAATTTTCCCGCAAGGCTACGCAAGCTGTGAATTTTACACCCTTCGTCCAAAGTATTTGCCATTTGTTATAATCTATATTATGACCAAGGTCTTTCTCCCATTTTACCATGGCCCCCTTCACCTGAACTTCTTTGGTGTCCCATTCCAATAATCGTTTATACATTTTTGAGAGGAGTTTATCATTGCTTTCCAGAATTTCAACCTGAAACCACGATTTTTTTTCCTTCATACCAAGTCTCTTATGTTCACCCCATAAAGCATGGATCTGGTGAAAATGGAGCCATTCTTTTATTTTGTCTTTCAGTTCTTCATAAGGTTTCAGCCTCCATCCCGTATCTATCTTTTCCAAAATATCCTCATACGTACAATTTTCTTCCGCCATATTTATTTTCTTAATTTTAACGATGTTAGATGGGGAGAGCCACCAGGGAGTACCTTTCTCAATCAGATTTTTATACCTCTTCCATACTTCCAATAATGGGCCTCTAATTATATGATTAGAAAATCCTCTGTGGACCTCCCCTTTCTCTTGCCATAGGTAGGCATGCCACCCAAATCTTATATCAAATCCCTCCAAATCCAAGAGATCTGAATTTCTGAGGGTGGCCCACTCCTTTATCCAACAAATACAGGCTGCTTCATAGTATAACCTAATATTTGGCACTGCAAACCCGCACCTTTCTCTCGAATCTGTTAAATATTTTAGCTTTACTCTGGCCCTCTTCCCCTGCCAAATAAACTTGGTCAGGATTTTCTGCCAGTTCTTAAAGAGGGAGGTGCCTTTAATTATCAGGATATTTTGAAAAAGAAATAGTAGTTTCGGGAGGATGCACATCTTAATAGCTGACATCCTCCCTGTCCAGGAGAGTTTTAATCTGTGCCAGGTATCTAAGTCCTTTTTAATATCCTGCCACACCTTACTATAATTATCCTCGACCAGGTTTATGTTTTTGGGTGATAACCAAATTCCCAAGTATTTTACTTTATTCACAACTTCAATGCCAGTCTTTTCTTCCAATTGGGATTTCTCCTGGTCGGTCATGTTCTTTGTTAGAATTTTTGTTTTCTTCCTATTTAATCTAAAACCGGACAGCCTACCAAAATCCTCTAAAAGTTCAACCACTCTACTTGCACTTTCCACTGGATTCTCCACCGACAGAACTAAATCATCGGCATAGGCCTTAAGCTTAAATTCTTTCTTCCCGATTTTTATCCCCTTCACATTCACTGCCCCCCTTATTCTATTTGCAATTACTTCTAAGACCATTATGAATAACAGGGGGGACAGTGGGCAGCCCTGCCTTGTACCCTTCTGGATCTTGAATGATTTCGTCAGGTTGTCATTTATGATCAGCCTGGCCTGTTGTTCTGAATATATTGCCCTGATACCTTTCAAATAAGGACCTTCGATGCCTGCCTTCCCCAAGCATTGTAGTAGAAATTCCCAGGAAACATTATCGAAGGCCTTTTCGGCATCTATAAAGATTAGTGCTGCGGGGACATCTATTCTCATATCCAGGTATTCAATAATGTTTAATATGTGGCGAACGTTTTCTTTTTGGTGTCTGTTTGGGAGAAAGCCCACTTGATCTTTGTGTATATACTTCGTTAGAAGCTTCTTGAGTCTACTAGCCATAATGTCCGCAAAGATCTTATAATCATTGTTAAGCAAAGAGATTGGCCTGTAGTTTTTTATATCTGTTTTATCTTTCTCTGTTTTTGGGATTAAGGTTATATAAGCCTCCTTCCATGAGGCCGGGGTCTTCCCCCCCTGAAAGATATTATTAATCACGTCTTTCAAGACCGGGGCTAGATGTTCTTCTAATATTTTATAGTATTTTGCGGACAGACCGTCCGGCCCGGGGGCTTTCCCGGTCTTCATTCTACTAATGGCCTCCTTGATCTCATTTATTGTGATCTCCTTATTCAATTCCGTTCTATCCTCTTCTAAAATGTATTTCTTTTCATTTTGTTCCAGATAGCTATTAATCTCTGCGCTACTTTCCCCTCCTTTTTCATATAACTTTTCAAAAAATTGAGTAAACCTGTTTTCTATTTCCTCTGGGTCTTCTATGATATTATCATCCAGTATTATTTTATTTATCATATTTTGTTTCTTTCTTTTCCTTAACTGCCAGGCAAGTAACTTCCCCATTTTGTTTGCCGACTCAAAATACCTTTGCTTTGTGAATTTAATTTTCCACTCTATCTCCTGATTTAATATTGCTGAATATTGAGACTGTAGCACCTTGGAGGCCCGGTTAGCAGCTTCGTCTGTTGGGTTTCTAGTTAGTTTTTTCTCGAGGTTCCTTAGTTGGGAGAGGATCTCCTCTTTCTTACGCTCCCTTACCTTTCTTCTATAATTATTTTGTTGTATTAGGAGACCCCTCAAAACCGCCTTACTGGCGTCCCAGACTACATCTATAGGGGTTTCTTTATTCAAGTTTAAGTTTAAATATTCTTTTAAAGTATCTTTAATTCTTTCCCTCACCTCTTCACTATCAAATAGGTTCTCACACATCCTCCATCTATATTGTCCCTTCACTTCGTTTTTTAATTCCAAATCTAAGGCACAGTGATCTGATAATGTCCTAGGATGGATCTCACATTTCCTAACTCTAATAGATAGTGTTCTTGTCATCCAGATCTGATCTATTCTACCCCAGCTCTGATGGGGTTCGGAATAATGGGTGAACTGCTTAGAGGTGGGGTTTTGGTGTCTCCAGATATCAATTAAATCTAGATTTTCTTCCATATCGCTAAATGATTTCGGTAATTTTCCCCTATTCCGTGTTCTCTTCTCTGTACTCCTATCCATATCCGGCGCTGGGACGCCGTTCATATCCCCAAGCAGAATTAATTTATTGGTATCCAATTCTAGTAACATACTTTCTAGTTTTTCGAAGAACTCCAGTCTGTTTGTATTCGGAGCGTATACCGTAACAACACTAATTTTTCCCCCCCGGAAGTTTAATTGGATCCCCAAAATTCTTCCTTCCTCGTCCTTACAGATCAAAGTTGGTTCCCATTTCTCTTTAGCATATATTGCTACTCCTCTTTTTTTCTTAACGTCAGAGTTAATAAATTCTACCCCTAGTTTTTTATTCACCAGGATATGTTTAT